GTGTTGGGTTCTGGGAATCAAACTTGGATTTTCTGCAAGAGCAGTAGACACTTCACTGCTGAGCCATCTCTCCAGATCCCCAACTTTTTGTTGTTATTGTTGTTTTGAGACATGGTATCTCTGTAGCCCCAGCTGGCCTTGAATTCACAGATCCACCTACCTCTGCTTCCTAGTGCTGGGATTAAAGGCATGCGCCACCATGCCAGACACTGACTTCTTAATACACGTTTTATGTTACAAAAACCAGGTATAGTGGTTCATGTTTGTAATCCCAATATATGAGACCCAAAAAACAAAACAAACAAAAAACAACTAAAAGGTACAATAATGCTACTGTAGGAAATATAAATATTTTAAAAAAGGCCAGGTGTGGTGGCATACACCTTTGATCTCAGCACTCAGGAGGCAGAGGCAGGCAAATTTCTAAGAGACTGGGCCAGCCTGGTCTATACAGTTAGTTCCAGGTCAGTCAGGGCTACATAGTGGAACCCCATCTCAAGGAAAAGAAAAACTTTAAAGAGGGAGAGAGAGAAGAATTAAACCAAAGTATAATGACATGTATAAAAATGCCATAATGAGGAGCTGGAAAGATGGTTCAGTGATTAAGAGCACTGGTTGTTCTTGCAGAAGACCTAGGTTTGAATCCCAGCACCCACATGGCAGCTAACAACTGTCTAGTTACAGGGGGTTATCTAACACCCTCTTCTGACCTCTGCAGGCATTGCACAACACAGATGCACCTACATATATGCAGGTAATACACGCATACACATAAAATAAAAACAGTATTTTTTCTAAATGCCATAATGAAACATTTATTTATTTATTTATTTATTTATTTATTTATTTATTTTTGATCTTTTTGAAACAGGATCTCCCTATAGCCCCAGCTAGCCTGGAACTCACTATGTAGACCAAGCTGGTGTTGAACTCACAGAGATCTTCCTGCCTCTGCCTCCCAAGTGCTGGAATTAAAGGTGTATGCCACCACGCCTGGCTTGAAACCTTTACTTTTTTAAAAAAGATTTTATTTTAAATTATGTGAACGTGTTGTGTGTGTGTGTGTGTGTGTGTGTGTGTGTGTGTGTGTGTTGTGACGAGGAGAGTAGTGGTGAATAATGTGCATGTGAGCGCAAGTACCTGTAAAGGTCAGAAGAGGGCATCAGATCCCCTGGAGATGGAGTTACCCAGACTGCTTGATAGAGGTACTGAGAACCAAACTCAGGTCCTCTTAACCATTAACCTATCTCTCCAGCCCTGAAACCCATTATTTTGTATGATAACTTAATAATAATAAAGGCTAGAAATACAAATATGAAGAAAGAAAAAGTCACACATGATGGCACAAGCCTTTAACCCCAGCACTCAGGAGACCAGAACTCTATGAGTTCAAGGCTAGCCTGGTTTACATTGTGAATTCCAGGTCAGCCAGGGCAAAGCAGTAAGACCCTGTCTCAAAAAAGTTAATAATAAAAAACTTTGAAGAAAGCATACAATTTCAGTTCTCAGATACTTTAGCATGCAGTCTTTCAAGTTTTCTATTTATACAATGAAAAAAATGGGAGTCACAGGTATACTTTATAATCTGCTTTTTGTATCTATCAACACATATTACATCTCCATATCTAAGCTCTCTACAGGTCTCTAGAGTTGCTTATTCATTCAACTGTCTATCTGATCTCATTTTAAATTTAGCATGGTCTAAACAGAGCTCTTACTTTTTCCACAAAGCTATTTTACCCATCTCAGAAAATCATTCTGACTAAAAATTTCAATCCTGCATTCGTCTCTGTCGCTTGCCACAGCCAGTCAGTCAGTTCCATCAGTAAGAACTCCAAAATACATCCTGACTTGATTCATCTCTCTCCTTTCCCACTACTACTACAATCTAAAACACTTTACTACAAGTGCTGCCCAACTTGTCTCTGTGTGTATACGTTTGTGCTACTACAATTTACATTCCACATAACCACCAATGGCTCTTCAAAAAAACATATGGCAAAGCATGTTGTGTCACTTATTCCAATTTCTACAAAACTTACCACTGTACTTTTAAAATAACTCAAATCAGGGCTGGAGAGGTGGCTCAGTGGTTAAGAGCAGTTAGGAGCATTGCAGACAATCCAGCACCCACATGGGGGCTAACAACTATCAGTAACTACAGTTCCAGAGGATCCAACAACTTCTTCTGACTTCTGTGGGCACTGCATGCACATACATGCAGACAAAACACTCATACACATAAAATAAATCCTCAAACCATGACAGAAACCCTAGGTTCAATTCCCAGTATGAAATGAAATAAAACAAGTAAAGCTGACTACAATGTTCAAGACTCTATATATGCAATCTGTCCCATGGTCACCTCTCTAACCCCATTTCTAGACTCTCCCCCCTTTTTTAACTTGGCTCCAATTTTTTGATATATTCCTAAACGTGCCAGATGTTGCCATCTGAGGCCCCATACCTGCTGTGCTCTTACAGTGCTCTTTTATACAAGGAGCTCCTTCTCACCATTTGCAACACATTCAATGGTCACCCCATCACAAAAGCCACTTCTGACCATGCACTGAAATAGCACCAGCCCCCATTTGGTGTCCCCAGAACTCTCTCCTGGCTTCTTATGTCTTTATACACCCACCAGAAGCTAAAGCTGAGCTTATTTTGCTCACTTGACTGCTGCTCATTATCTCCCACCCTCATACCCTCATAGAATATCTTTGAAAGCAGGGATGTTATAAGTCTTGTTCACTGCTGTTTTTTGTTCTGTTTTTTTATTTTTTATTTTTATTTTATTGAGACAAGGTCTCCCTGTAGCCCCAGCTGACCTGGAACTCACTATGTAGACCAGGCTGGCCTTGAACTCACAGAGATCTGCCTGCCTCTATCTCTGCTGTATTCTTAGTCATTCATGCTACAAAACTGTCAGTAATTATTTATTGAAAATGGGGTGGATGTAGCTAGCCTAGTGGCAGAATGCTTTACTAGCATGTATAAGGTCCTAGGTTCAGTCCTGGCCATGGGAAAAAAAAAATCCAGCAACCATCAAGTTGAGGGTGCACTGCCAATACTTTGGGCCAGCCAGTGAGATGGCTCAGTAGGTAAAGGCACTTGCTGCCAATGATGATGGCCTGAACCACTCCATCACATTGTCCTTGAACCACCAATAAATAAAAATGTAAAAATGTAAATGGACATGAGTTCAACATTTTTTAAAATTATTAGAGCTCTAATACTTTTTTTAAAAAACTGTATTTGGTGGTAATTTTATTAATTAACTTTATTTGATAGGGTCATACTATGTAATCCAGGCTAACCTGGAATTTACAATCCTCCTGCCTTAGCCTCCTTAGTGCTGGGATTACAGATGTGTGCCAACACACTGGGCTTTCATGGTACTACTATACATTTACTTATTGTGTGTGTGTGTGCACATACCGCTGCACATGTGTGAAGGTCAGAGGACAACTTGCAGGAGTTGGCTCTCTCCTTCTACTATGAGGGCTCCAGGGATCCAATTCAGATTGTCAGGCTTAGCGGCAAGTGCCTTTACTTGGAGCCATCTTTCCGGCCCTGGTAATTTCAGGTGTACAGGAATCTTGTAAAAATAATACAGAGCTGCCAAATACCTTTTCTTTGTCTTTCCCTAATGATAACACATTTGTTAAAACTAAGAAATTAGTTTTATCTGGGAATGTAGTTCAGTAACAGAATGCTTGCCTACCATGTGCAAAACCCTGGTTTGTTCTCTAGAATGAGAAAATAAATTAATAAAATTACCATTAATGTGATACTATTACCTAAACTTCAGAATTCTTGGATTCTAGCACAGTGTATGACAGTGGTGCAATAGTGGCACTTTTATCTTGGGGGCAATCAACAGCTACCTAATTGGACTTTTTAAAAGCCCACTCAATGGGCAGAAACGCAAGGGTGGTACTGTAAACATAACCAAATACACATGGCTAAAGTGGTCACAGATCTTAAGAGAAAACCCAAAGACCATCCCATTCCTAGACTAATGTAATTTCTTACTATGTGCAAAATATGTATCCTTATATTTACAGATAAATATCCCAGTCACCACTCATCAAAGAAGCTTATTTTGCACCAGTTGGAGACTATTACCAAGTACCACAACTGGTCACAGACAGACACCGTCTATGGAAAGGAATCTTTAAATTCATCCTACATTCAAAGAAAGAGGAATTAATTATACTCCTTGGGAGTGGGGAGTATATAAAATCCTTCCATTTACTTTTTTAAAAGATGTTATTTTACCGCTGGGTGTGGTGGCACATGCCTGTAGTCCCAGCACTTGGGAGGCAGAGGCAGGCGGATCTCTGTGAGTTCAAAGACAGCCTGGTCTACATAGGGAGTTCCAAGCCAGCTGAGGGAAACCCTGCTTCAAAAAGATCAAAAAAAAAAAAAAAGAGAGAGAGATTTTATTTTTATTTTATGTATATGAATATTTTGACTGCATGTATGTAAGTGCACCACCTTTGTGCCTGGTGCCCACAGAGGCCAGAAGAGGAATTGAGATTCCCTGGAACTGAAATTACAGACCAGTGTTAGCCAACATGTAGGTGCTAGAAACCAAACCTGGGTCCTCTAGAAGAGCAGCCAGTGCTCTTACCACTGAGTCATCTCTCTAGCCCTCATTTTTAGTTATAAAAAAGAGGCAATCATATTCACCGTAAGTCTTCTTTAAAATATATTTTTATTTTATGTATACAAGAGTTTTGTCTGCATGCATGTAAGTGAACCCTTGTTATGCAATGCTCTCGGGGCCAGAAGAGAAAGTCAGATCCCTGGGAACTGGATTTATGGACAGTTGTTAGCCGTCATGTGGGTGCTGGTAATGGAACCTGGGTCCTCTGCAAGAACAGCCAAGTGCTCTTAATCGCTAAGCTATCTCTCCAGCCCCCTTTTGTAAGTCTTAAAGGTAGATGTTATATGAGTACCTAAAGAAAGAACTGGATTTAAGTACTCTTACCTACCAGTATCAAGATACCAAAGATCCTTGCAGCAAACTTGACTATTCAGTGCTTTTTTGTAGCCATCTCTTCCACTCCAAAAATATAATCGAGTGCCAATTGCAACAGCACAGTGTCCAGCTCTTGGTCTTGGTCTTGAATTTTTTTTGTCTTCCTGAGAATCTGACACTAGAGTGGTCCACTCTGCTGTATCTGAAAGAAGGAAGAAATTTCCATGACTCAGCTATTGATCTTAAGCAATAAAGTAACAAAATCATTTCATTAACAAATGCCATTTCAATGAGCAAGTCTCAAAAGACTCACCTAGATTTAGGTAAGAAAATGAACTGGTACATCTCCATTCACAATCGTGAGGTGAATTCTCAGTATTTTCCCCCTTATGTGGAACCCATCCACCAAAAATGTACATCCTAGGCAACAACAACAAAAAAAATCAAGAATATAAAGTAGTAGCTTAATTTTACTTTTGGATTTGAAATGTCAAGAATGAATTTGTTGACTCAAAACTTTAGAACTATTTACTCATTACATCATCAAGTTAATAGTATAGATATGAAAAAAAAAGTCTTTTTTTTTTTTTTAAAGAGTTTACCATTTTAAGCCAGGGTGGTACACATCTGTAGTCCTAACTATTTGGGAAGCTGGGTAAGGAGAAAGATTATTTAAGCCCAGTAGTTTAAGGCCACACTGGGAAACATAAGAAGATTCTACCTCAAAAATAAAAACAACAATAACAACAACAAAAAATTTGAACAGGGCGTGGTGGCACATGCCTTTAACCCCAGTACTCAGGAAGCAGAGGCAGGTAGATCTCTGTGAGTTTGAGGAGTCTGTTCCACATAGTGAGTTATAGGTTAGCCAGATCTACATAGTGAGACCCTGTCTCAAATAAATAAATAAATAAATTTTATAATTTTATGACATAGTAACAAATCAAAATTATTCTCTCTGGCAAGTTAGTTTAAGTGGGGAATGTTTCAAGTATAATACATTTGGCAATCAATCCTGTGTGTAATATAGTAAGGATACCTCAGTCAGAAGACAAATGGTCTATGACATCCAAAGCCAACTGTACAGAACAGTGGCTGCATGGTGAGTGTTAACTGTCAACCTGACAGGATCTGGAATCACCCAGGAGAAAAGTCTCCATGCACAGCTTTGAGAGATTATATTGATCATGTTCATTGAGGTGGGAAGACTCACACTAAAAATGGGCAGCACCAGCCTCTGGGCTGGGGTTCTGGACTATATAAAAGAGAGCAAACTGAGCACAGGCATTCATCATTCTCTGTTTCTTGATTGCAAATGCTCCAAGCTGCTGCCACTATGACTCCCCAACAGGAGGGACTATGAGCTGTGAGCCAAATTAACACTTTCTTCTAAGCTGCTCTGTCAGGGTATTTTATCACAGCAACAGAAAAGTAACCAAGGCAGTGATCACATGAATTTCACGTAACTTTAGGTCACTGCTATTACTTAAATTTAAAAGCAAACTTTTTAAGCCTGATGTAGTTGTGAATGCCTGTAGTCCAAACTTCTTGAGAGGCCGAGGCAAAAGAATGTCTTGAACTAGGCCAATGGGATATGTAAGTTTATAATCCCAGGTAGGGAGGCTGAGCAAGGAAGAGCACAAGTTTGAGGATTGAGGACTACATGGACTACAGATCCAGTTTAGGGCCAGCGACTTAGTAAGACCTTGTCTCCAAATTAAAAAAAAAAAAAGATTGGTGGTAACAGCTCCATCATATGACACTTGTGAGTTATACATAAGACACTTGCTTAAACTCTAGTGCTGTTAAAATATAGCTGGGTGTGGTGGTACATATCTTTAGTCTCAAAGGCAAGGAGATCTCTGTGAGTTCAAGACCACCCTGGTCTACATAGTGAGTTCCAGGCCAGTTGGGGGTACAGGGAGTCCCTGTCTCAAAAAGACCAAAAAAAAAAAGGATATGTTTCCCAGCAGCCTATAGGTCCTTTAGACCCCAATACTTGCTGAAGGAAAAAGGATCACTGGGCAGAGCTTAGAACTCACATGAACACATGCCAACTGGAGAGGCTCTCTTTATTATACAACAGAAATTGAATTTTTTAAAAAAGAACACCTAAGATTCTTTTTAGTGTATTTTAGAAGATTTTGTTGCAATGTGAAGATTCTCTTTGGTTTTAAAGTTGTTTTTAAATATTTTATTTTTTATTTTATGTGTATGCGTGTATTGCCTGTATGTAGGTTAGTGTACCTGTGTCATGCAATGCCCACAGAGAACAGAAGAGGCTGTTGGATCCCCTGGAACTGGAGTTATGGACAGTTGTTAGCTTCCATGTGGGTGCTGGGATTCGAACCCAGATCTTCTGCAAGAACAACCAGTGTTCTTAACCACTGAGCCTTCTTTCCAGCCCTTAAGGTTGTTTTGGGGTGTTTTCTTTTTTTTTTTTTTTTTCGGTCTTTTTGAGGCAAGGCCTCCCTGTAGTCCGAGCTGTCCTGGAACTCACTATGTAGACCAGGCTGGCCTCCCAAGTGCTGGGATTAAAGGCTTGTGCCACCACACCCAGCCCCTTAAAGTTGTTTTTAAAAAGCAACTAGTTGCTGGGCGTGGTGGCGCACACCTTTAATCCCAGCACTTGGGAGGCAGAGGCAGGCGGATCTCTGTGAGTTTGAGGCCAGCCTGGTCTACATAGTGAGTTCCAGGACAGCTGGGGCTACAGGGAGACCCTGTCTCAAAAAGATTTGAAAAAAAAAAAAAGAAAAGAAAAAGCAACTAGTGATTCTCAATTACAGCTAGTAGTTTCCTAAAACATTACATTGAAAGTGAAATCCTTTCACTATGAACTACTTCTTAGGTTTTATTTAAGCAGTACTTCTAATAATGGCCCATTGCTGCACAAACCTGCTGCTGGTGGTGGTATAGAACCTTTCTGCAGTGCTCCAATGTGTATCAGTCACCTTTCTAAGTACTTTTTATGTATGGATCCATTTAATCTCCACAATGCCTTGTGAAGTAGGTCTAACTTTAATCTCCATTGTACCTTGAGTGAGGCAGATTCTGTTTTCTTGCCCCAGGCTATACACAGCAAGTACCAAAGGTAGACTTGAGTTCAAGCAATCTATAGAAAATCCATACTCAAATCATAATCTCTGTATTTCCATTCAGAGCATGCAGCCAAGTGCAGACACGTGAAAAGCAACAGGGCGGCAGGTGTGCCAACCCTGCCAACAGAGGACAGGGCAGCTGACAGCACCCTGCCTTACACCTAGGTAATGCCCACTCCAGAAGGGCATGGTGAGGAAGCTAAGGAGGTATCAAAGACATAATGAAAACAAAATGAATGGTGTGCAAGGTATTTCAGCTTCCATAGACCAATTATTTTAGCCGCAGTGGCTAAGCACAAGGAGACAATTGTTAAGTTCTATAATGTTAAGTTCTATAATGCCAGAAAGAAGCATCATTACTTTTCTCTGCATGTATTTTTAAGTTGCTAAAAATGAAAAACTCCCCTGCATTAATATATGCTTGTATTGTTTGAGCTTTTTGCAGTAAGCATGCACTACTTTCATAATTAAAAATTTTCCGTTTTGAAAACAAAACAAAAAAAATGAAATCCCCAACACAAACAACAAAAAGAAGTGCCATACCTGTTTCCTATAACACTGGCTGTATGAAGGCTTCGTGGAAGCGGTACTGTTCCTTTAGTTTCTGGTTTTGACCATGACATAGTTTCTAGAAATAAAAATAAGTATATCAGCACCTTGATCTAATAATACATAAAGCACCTCAAAATAGAACAAAAGAAGTACTTATCAATGAAGCAAAAATGTTTCACAACAGTTATTTGAATGTCAACTTAAACATTTCAAATGACAAAAACTGTCAATCAGAAATCTACTTACACTTGAATTTAGCATTTATAATGCAGAAATGTGCTTAGAGTGACACCAATTTTGAGTTAAGAATATTGGTGATTTTAATATTTTAAATAAGAGCACAATTCATAGAAGATAGTCAGAGGTGAGAGGCACATCTATCCTCTAATCATTCATTTCTAGAATTCCTTTAGAAAGAGCTACTTCAGAGTTTTCCACTGGCTAGCAATATTGCTAAGGCTACATCTCCTGCAGATACAGCAAACACATAAAATGAGCAACTCAACCAGACACTTTTTACTAAAGGGAGAGGGTATTGCTGACAATTACATAGGACAGTAAGTATAAAGCAGGACCATTCCAGACAAACCAGGACCTATAATGATTCTAAATGGTACAAAGGAGAGTTACTACCATTTTTCACCCTGATTGATGACATTTCAGCTGCTCCTGAGACTGTAAGTGCTGGCTGTACTCTTAGTGTGACTTGTTAAACATTTTAATCAAAAATATTTTGGGGGCTGGAGAGGTGGCTCAAGGGTTAATAGCACTTGTTGTTCTTCCAGAGGAACAGGGTTTCCAGCACCCACATGGTGGCTCTGTCACCCTCTTCTGGGCTTCTCAGGCATTACACACATGTCAGTATACACACAGGCAATTAAAATACTTGTACAAATAAAAATAAATAAGCCATTAAAAAATATTTTCAGCCGGGTGTGGTGGCACACACCTTTAATCCCAGCACTTGGGAGGCAGAGGCAGGTGAATCTCTGTGAATTCGAGGCCAGCCCAATCTACATAGACAGTTCCAGGCCAGCTGGGGCTACAGGGAGACACTATCTCAAAAAGAAAGAAATTTTTTTCAGAGCATTTCAAATTTTCCTTTATTAATCACAAGCAATTCCTGAATCAAATTATGCTTACCTAAGTCAAGCTGCCATAGGTCATCCAGGCGAGCACCACACATTCCACCAAAAACATACATCTTAGGACTTCCAGAATCTTTTTTACAATATATAACAGCTGTATGGGATTCTCTTGGAGAAGGTACAGTGCCTTTAGTGAGTGGAATGCTCCAACCCACAACACCAGAACCATGCTGTAGTTCCAACTCATAGAAATCATTTAGATATCTAGGATATCATGGAAGAGATTAAAATGCTCAGATAACATATCTTTTATTTGCTTTATTTCTACTCATAAGCATAACATATACTAGCCAGACATGGTAGTACATGCCTGTAATCATAGCACTCAGGAAGTTGAGGCAGGAGAATGGTGAGTTCCAAGACAGCTTGAACTACACAGAGACACCCTATCTCAGAAAAAAAAGAAAAAAAGAAAAAGAAAGAAGGACTAGAGAGATGGCTCAGCAGTTAAGAGCACTTATTCTCTTGTAGAGAATCAAAGTTTGGTTTCCAGCACCCATATAGGGAGGCTTCTGACCTCAATAGGCATGGCACACACAGTGCACATAAACTCATATAGACACACACATACATTTAAAATAAATAATTTTGGGGGGCTGGAGAGATGGCTCAGTGGTTAAGAGCACTGGTTGTTCTTGCAGAGGACCCAGGTTCGAATCCCAGCACTCTCATGGCAGCTAACAACTGTCTGCAGCTCCAGTTCCAGGGGATCCGACAGCCTCTTCTGCCCTCCACTGCACAACACGGGTGCGCTTACCTACATGCAGGGAATACACTCATACACATAAAATAAAAATAATAAAAATATAGATATAGTAAAAAGAAATATTAACAAAGAAGTTAAATATGCACCTGAAACCCCAGCACTTGGGAGGCAGAGGCAGGTTTAAGGCTAGCCTTGAGTATGAGACCATCCTGGTCCATGTAAATAAATTTTGTTTTAAATATTTTATTATTTTTATTTTATGTGTATGAGTGTATTGCCTGCATGTATGTGAGTGCACCCGTGTTATGCAATGCCTCGGAGGTCAGAAGCTTTTGATTCCCCTGGAACTGGAGTTAAGGACAGTTCGTAGCTGCCATGTGGGTGCTGGGAATTGAACCCAGATCCTCTGCAGGAGCAGTCAGTGTTCTTAACCACTGAGCCATCTCTCTAGCCCCTAAATAACTTTTTTAAAAGAAAAAAATACGTATGTTTACTGCAACATGCTTACTATAAAAAAAAATCATATAGTACAGAAAGGCACTAGGAGAGCAGAACTCCTAGATGATTCACTCCGTATACATTTATCAAACCCTACTATGTGTCAGGCACTCTTCAGGACTTAGTGAAAAACAAAAACTCTTACTATCCTTCAGCCAACATTTTTACCAACAACACAGTCCCCAAAACATCTGACATTCTTTCCACCAGGGGATGAGGTTCAAGTCCTCCCCCCTTAATTCTAGGCTAGTTTGTGACTGCTTTAAGCAATAGGATAGATGAAATGAAATTATGTAACTTCAAAGGCTGGGTCACAGAAGGCCAATATAATCTCACTATAATATGGCTTATGGAACCCTTAACCACCACATATAATAAATGGCTACTGAAATCACTATCTGAAAAAGGGCACATGAGAGGCCAGGGATGCAGCTCAGTTGGCAAAGTACTTACCTAGCATGCACAAAGCCCTCAGTTGAGTCCTCATGAATAAACCAGGCACGGTGGCACATGCCTATAATCCCAGAACTCAGCAGGTAGAGCAGAGGGATTAGAAGTTCAAGGTTATCTTTGGCTACACAATCAGTCAGGGCCATATGAGAGTCTGCCTCACAGTAGCCATACCAGCAAGCATGTGAGGTCATAGTTCCAGTTGAATCTACCTTCAGCTCTCTGCGAGGTATCAGACATGGGGAGGACCATTCAAGCTTTCCCTGAACTCTTCACTTACTGAGTTTATATGAGCATTAAGTTTACAGAACATAAGAAAAGTTAATACTTTGCATCATTAAATTTTGGTGAAGTTTATTACATAGCACTAGATGACTAGAACAATCACTACTGACAGTATCTTGGCAAATACCTTTAAGACATCGCTCTATGGATATCCACATATGGATACATCACGAGGTATATAACAAGTACTGTTTTGCAGCCTTTTTTGCCCATGATAATGTCAGAGTGATGTCCTAAATAGCTTCTTTAATTTAGAAACTGGCATTAAACTAATCTGTGATGTGTATGTTTTCAGCAAAATGACTTTGTGTGTGTGTGTGTGTGTGTGTGTGTGTGTGTGTGTATGCAAGTGCATGTGTTATGTGTGTATGTGTGTGTGGAGGCCAGAGGTTGACACTGGGTGTCTTCCTCAATCACTCTTCACCTTCTATATTGAGATAGTCTGTCCTTGAACCCAGAGCTCACAGTTGGTTTTGGCTAGTCTGGCTAGCCAGCTTGATCCAGGGATTGATTCTATTTTTGCCTCTTGCCAGCTGGGATTACAGGCAGGCCACCATATCCACCTACTTTTTATGTGGGTTCTGGGGACCCAAACACTAGTCCTTGCACTTGCACAGCAAGAGCTTTACCTTCTGAGCCATCTCCCCAGCCCAAAAATGACTTTTGTAAAGATCTATTTCCTACTAAAATTTTACTCAAGTAAGTATAAAACATTTAGGGCATATAAAGTCTCAACGTTAGGCGCGCGCATGTGTATGTGTGTGTGTGTGTGTGTGTGTGTGTGTGTGTGTGTGTGTAAAAAAACTGGAGAAAAATAATTCAGAATTCTGTCTAGAAAAAATACATCTAAAAAAGAATATGTTGGATAAAAGAAATTGTAGTGTAAAGAAATGACCAATTTACAATTATATTTAAATTGGCATTCATGATAGAGTTGTTAAGTCTAATCACTAAGAAATACTGAATGAAAGGAAAGTTTTTCCTTAACATGACTCTGATCTAGAATAAGACTCAATAATATATGCAAAACACAGAAAATGATGCTAAGAGAATAATAACTGACTCCCCAAAATGACAAGATGCTTTCAGTGTAAGGGTAATAATTCTGAACAGCTAGGAAAGCACAGAAGTAGCAGGTATAGCCAAGAGAAACAGAGGAAAACAAGAAATGAAAATGAAGCGCAGTAGATGGAAAGCATTTGGTAAAATGGTTCTTCAAAAAGACCCACCATAGCAATGTCAAAAGAAAGACAAATTGAAAACAAAACAGTATACACCACAGAAAAAAATCAAATGTTCTTAACACAAAAGAATTCTAGCCAGGTATGGTGGTTCACACCTGTAATCCCAGTGTTTAGAAGATGCTGAGACAGGAGGATTACTCCAAGTTTGAGGCCAGCTTGGGTTATACACTAAGACCCTATCTGCAAAAACAGCAACAAATAATAATTCCTAAAAATTAGGACTAGAGAGATGGCTTGGCAGTTAAGAGCACTGGCTGCTCTTATAGAGGACTCAGGTTTGATTTCCAGAATCTATATGGCAGCTAACAATCATCTGTAACTCAGTTCCAGGGTTTCCAACGCCTTTTCTTCGGGCCTTTGTGGGCACTTAAATACATGGAAGCAAACACTCAGACACACAAAAAAATAATTCCTAAAAATCAAAATAATGATGAGTCACACAATAAATATAAACAGCCTAATGAAGGCATAGGCAAAATTATTACTGTGTATGTATATTATATATATATGTACATGTATATAATAAATAATAGCAATGTTAATTCAACAAAGTATGAAATAATTCTGTTAACAATAAAGTGATATCTAACTAGGAATTAAAAGGTAGTTCATATTTAAGAGGTTAATGATAACATTAAAAAATTCATGAATTAGGGGCTGGAGAGATGGCTCAGCAGTTAAGAGCACTGACTGATCTTGCAGAGGACCCAGGTTCGATTCCCAGCACCCACATGGCAGCTACAAACCACCCTTAACTCCAGTTCCAGGGGATCCAATGCCTTTTTCTGACCTCTGCGGCACTGCACGACATAGGTGCACTCACATACATGCAGGCAATACACTCATATACATAAAATAAAAATAATAAATTTTTTAAATATTTTTTAAAAAACACACAAAAATTTGTTCACTATTAAGTTCAACAAGATAAACTTTAATCTTTACAATGTTTCTAACCTAAATCATAAAATAAGCTCTTGATCTACAGCATACCTGGGAACATTGTTGTTTGAATCCTCACTTTCATTTGCCAGACCACCAAACAAATAGCATTTGTTACCATATAAAGAGAAACTATGTCCAAGCCGAGGACAAGGAGGTAAACCAGAAGAAGGAGGTTGGGGTTTCACTTTTTTCCATAACCAACGACTTGCCTAGAAAAGAATACAAACATATTTACATAGAACTCAGGAAATCATTCCTACTCCTATACTGCCAATAGCTCAACATCATACCAATACATTTTATTTTTAATTTTTTCAAAATTTTATTTTGTTTTTATCTGTATGTTTTGCCTGGATGTATGCAAGTGTAACCATGTTGTGCAAAGTCCACATATGCTATAAGAGGTTGTCAGACACCCAGGAACTGGAGTTACAGATGGTTGTTAGCCACCGTGTGGGTGTTAAGAACTGAACCTAGGTCCTCTGCAAGAGTAGTCAGTGCTCTTAACGACTGAGTCATCTCTCCAACCCTAATGCCAATACATTTTAATCTGAGTCTCATCAGAAAGTCCAATAAGCTACTTTGGGGACAAAAGGCAAATAAGCAGCCCACTTTTGAAATTAAAATATATTCTAGTAAAGCTGGCTGTGGTAGCACACAGCTGTAATCCAATCACTTGTGAGGCGGAGACAGGCTCTGAAAGTTATCCTTGGTTATACAACAAGTTAAAGGGCAGCCTGGGCTGTGTGATATTTGTCTCACAAAAGATATATATATATATATATGTGTGTGTGTGTATATATGCACACATATATATACACTATGTGTGTGTGTATGTATGTATGTGTGTTAGTAAAACTACAGATGAATCTTCTACACAGATTTCTATAATAATCTTAATAATAAATACTACCAGTTCTAATTTTTCTCAAGTGAAAAATTAAGTATTTATTATATATAATTTTAAGGTTAGATGTAATTTTGTTGTTCGTTTTTTGAGACAAGGTCTCACTATGCAGCCCTTGCTAGCCTGGAACTTGCTTTGTAGATCATGCTTGACTTGAACTCACAAGATTCACCTGCCTCTGCCTTGTGCTAGGATTAAAGGCATGTGCCACCCCACTCAGCCAGGTTAGAGATAATTACTTGGAGATAATTATAAGCTTACTTATGGATATTTGGTAATATATAACGCTAAATATTTTAACCTTTAAATTTTAAAAAAACAACTCATTTAACAAACTGAACTCCAAAACTCATTCTCTGGCCAGGAGAATCTTTATCTGAGACTATTTTTGAAATGGTTGCTTGCAAATAAATACAACCCATCCATACATGCCAACTGGCAGATTCATCATGATAATGGCCCTGGGAACAGATCAAGAACAGTCAACAAGGGCTGAGTCTGGTTTAATAAGCAAATCAAATTTAGAAAGGTTATATGAAAGTATAACCTCAAGCTGCATGCCTGGGGCGGGGGACAAGGTGGGGGGGGGATTAGTACTAGGAAAGGTAATAATGATTCCTCTGATACTAAGGCAATGGTTTTCAAAGTATGGTCTGGAAACTTGATAGAAATGCAAATTCAAGTCCCTCTGCACACAATGCTGACTCCAGCCCTGGAGGCTGGGTTCAGCAATCTGTTTCCACCAGTCAGTACTCCAAGTACTCCAGTGGTAAGCTAAAGTTGAAGGACAATTACACTAAGATACAAAAATTTAAACATGTAACACACACAAGTAATGTTAAGATCTTTATGCTATAAATGTTTCATCTGGCACAAGAAAAGACATTAGATACTGTAACTTTTAAGTGGTAGAAACATTTTCTTTGAAGCTATAAAACGTGGAGCACCTGTTGTACTTATGCTAATGAAATATTTTGTCATCTTTTCAAGAATTATGACTAAGTTCATTATTAGAGCTCCAAACTGAAATGATAAACGTGAAATACACTTACTTGCAATTCATATAACTCACTGCTGTATCTTCCATATTCAACCATTCCCCCAAACACTAATATTCTGGTACCATCACAGACAAATCCATGGGCAGCACAGCCTGGAGGGATGTCTCCTCTAACCGCTGGTAGAAACCACTGATTTGTAACTAGTTCCCCAAAACAAAAATAAAATCAAATGTAACAAATAACAGTTACAACATATTTTCTGTTTGTACTTTATAATCTGTATTATGTAAAAATTATATATACTTGGATATATATTATTATATGTAATACATAATTTGCATTCCAGGTCTTTCAGGAGTTCTCAACTGGGGATGATTTTGCCCTGCCTAGAGTATACTGATTTTTCAATGTCTTAACACAATTTTAGTTGTCACAACTGGAGATGGAGGTACCGCTATCAAATTGTGGGTAGAATTCAGGGATGCCAGATGTATCTTACAATATACAAGGTAGCCCCACAGGAAAGAATCCACTGTCCCAAAATGTCAATAGTGCTGCTGTTGAAAACACTAATCTGCATCACTTAACTCATTTTTTTTAAAATATTGCTGGGTGTGGTGGCACAGGCCTGTAGTTTAAGCACTCTGCAATCCCAGGAGGCAGAGGCAGGCAGATCTCTATGAGTTCAAGGCCAACCTGGTCTATATACTGAATTACAGGCCAGCTCCAGCTACAGGGAGACCCTGTCTTAAAAGGAGCAAAAAAATACATATACATTTTTTATATGTGTATGAGTGTTATTGCCTCATGTGTGTAAGTGCACCCATGTTGTGTAGTGCCCGAGGTGGTCAGAAGGCAGTGGATACCCTGGAGTTACAGACTGTTGTTGGCTGCTATGTGGGTGCTAGGAATCAAACCTGGGCCCTGTGCAGCCAGTGCTCTTAATCACTGAGCCATCTCTCCAGCCCCTCACTTAACTTTTTTTTAAAAAATACTATTATTATTGTATGTATACGTGTGTATTCCCTGCATGTATGTAAGTATACCCATGCTGTGCAAATTATTCGGAGGTCAGAAGAGGGCGTCAGATTCCCCTGGAACTGGAATGACAGATGGTTGTTAGTTGCCATATAGGTGCTGGGACTCAAACCTGGTTCTCTGCAAGAGCAGTCAAGTGTTCTTGACCACGGAGCCATCTCTCCAGCCCCTGCATCAATTAACTCTTACAACAGCCTAGTGGGTAGCATCTCCACAATACAAGTGGAAAACCTGAGTTTCAGAAAGATTTGATAACTTTAATGCTAATCTTCGACAACTGGCAAAGCAAAATTCAAAAATAGGTCTAATTTATTACTTTTTAAACTTTATATGGTGGAGTCCTAGGGGGCGAGGAGGCAAGAGGAGAGGCTGAGGAAATAAAATGTCTCCTACGGTCTTAAACCTTTAGATGACTGTGATCAAGTTGTTTCATCAGAGAAAAGCTGGTCACGCGATAGAGCGACCCCAAATGCAGTCATTAGTCTTACACCAAGGAAACATTTCCAGGGATCGCTGCAGTAGTTACAAATGGAGAAAATGGAATGAATGCCAGCTTCCATGCGAGTCCACGGAGGTGGGCGCTTGGCAGTGCTGAGTATGACAGTCCTCTTTCGGAGGACCAGTCAGGGCGCAGCCAGGTCTCACCCACAGATCCCTTCCGCGCCAGCTTCGGGGAAATCTTGACCGCTTCCGCCAGATACTGGGTGTGCGGGCGCTAAAGGACCAGAGGCCTCCTCACCCTCCAGCTCTTCCTCACAAGGAGGGAAGGGAAGGCCAAAGAAGGCAAGAGGCCGGAGGAGTTCGGGCTGCGGGCAGGCGTGGCTTCTGGCAGTGAAGGGACTGGCCGGGGAGGAGAGGCCCGGGCCGTTTGGAGCCCGGCTCTCACTGCGGTCCGCGGACAGGGCTGGGCCGGGGCGTCGCGATGCCCGCCTGGGGAGTCCGGTCCAGCCCGCGGGCCCGCCACGCCCAAACTGCCATCCAGCACGCGGCGAGCGGGCCGGTCCAGCCCAGCACTCCCGCCGGCCGGCGGGCCGCGGAGACAGTGACTCGGCGGTGACAGCTGTCAGGCCCACGTCCGCGGCGCCGCCCCTCCCCCTCCGCCGCGCCGCCCGGCCGCCGCCTACCCGTGTTGTAGACGTGCAGCTCGTCCGCGATGCCCTCGTTGCCCCCGCCGAAGATGATCATCAGCTCCCGGATGGCCACCGCTCGGTGTCCGTGCCGGGCGCGGGGCACCGGCCCTGTGAAGGAAGAAACCCGCCTCCAGTTGAGGAGGCTGGGAGCCGCCATCTTCCCAACCCCCGCCCCTCGGCCCACAATGCCCCTCGCGCTCCGGCGCCACGGCTCGGCTCCGGGACCGGGCAGTCGCTGCCTCCAGCCGCGGGAGGGGCGGCACGTGATGTGGCAGGCCCCGCCTCCAGCCGGGGGCGACCTGGACCAGCTCCCAGCTCCCCAGCCAGCCCTGCTCACCCAAGGCCTCCGGTACAGCCCGTTCCTTTCCTTTCCGTGCAACCTTTTTTTGTTGTGTTTTTTGATATTTTTTTATTTTATGTTTATTTTCTGCATGTTTGTAAGTGCACCCGTGTCGTGCAATGCCCACTGACGTGGTCAGAAGAAGTTGTCAGATCCTCTACTCCTGGAGTTACCGTGTGGGTGCCGGGAATCGAACCCGGGTTCTCTGCAAGAGCAGCCAGTGCTATTAACCACTCTAGCCATCTCTCCAGCCCCTCCGTGTACTTTTTTTTTCACTTTAAAATGATATATTTTAATTTTTATTCATACACACATACAAAGAAAACCTCAACAAATTAAACACAAACCAACCAACCCAAGGAAATTCTGTCATTTGTGACAATGGGTGAGCCTGTAGGACACGTTAAGTGAAATGAACCAGACTCCAGAAGAACAAACACCACGTGATGTCACTAATATGTGGACTCTGAAAACATGAAACGTGGAGAAGTAGAGCGTGGAATGATGACTGAGGGTTGCCATGGGGATGAGGAAATGCAGAGCAGAGTGAATGAAGTTTCAGTGGAACAGGAAAGTGAAGATCTATCACACACGGTTGTTATTAACTCCAGTTAATAATAATGTAGATTTCAAAATTGCTAAAAGAGTAGATTTTTAAATGTTCTCCCTACACGAAAACAAATACCTATGATTCTAGATAATTAGCTTAATATAATCCTACAATATTTGCAGATATGAAAAGATTTTATTCTACAAATTTTTTTCTTCTTCTTTGATTTATTTATTTTTATAGGGCTTTTGGCTACTCTAACATTCCCCTGTCTGAAGAGTTAACCCTAAAATCTTTTAAGGGTTAGATACAAGCTTCCAAATACTTTAAACATTTTTGGCCTTTGGAACAGAGGATGTTGCTAAGCAGCCCAAGGACATTTTGATTTTTAGCCAAGAAACTGGCTACTTTTCTTTGGGGGTCTTTTTACCCTAACTGCCTAGCCAGTTCCTACCTCCTAGTCTTATCATGCCATCCTCTGAAGGGGTTACCCAAATTGCCAATAGGGAATCGGGACACAGACCGCTCTGGCTTCTTCCATGCTGAACAGGGACTCAGGGTGAGGCAATTGGAGTACCCCTTCAATGGGTCTATCTAAAAGACTCCCAAATTGCATAATTCTTATCTCTAAGGGGAAAAGAAAGTCCTTGAATCATGAATAGGAAATGTGAAGAAGTAAAGGCAAGGGCATTGCAAGTTCTAGAGAGAGAACTAGAAAAAAGTCAGAATGGCAATTTTTTTCAAATGTTCATATGAGAGTCCATTGGAATTTCTTGACAAGGGCTT